ATATGGAGCCTTGTCACCACCCCTGGAACTAGCAGAACCTGTGACAGCTGTGGCCTTTGCTCCTATTTTGGTGTCAGAAAACCAGTTAGTGTGCCTCTCTACATTAAAGATTATATTTGACAACAACAGTACATGCATATAATAAGTTTATTTGGAATGGTATTTGACAAATGCCTCCAAGTCATTTAGCATGGTCATACAAGCTGCCTGTTATAAAGCCTTGGAGCAGTTTTCAAATGATGATGTCTTGAAAAAACTTCTTTATCTTTCAAGAGAGTAAATCACAAGTCTGATACAAAAATGCTCTCTTCTTAGATTTATTAGTTCAATTAGGACTCTCTGTCTGAAACATACAATATTACAGATTCATGATTCATGTTTGAGAGCCATATTTTACAATAAACACATTGTAAACAACTCACAGGGACATAATAAATTTTATTTTAACACCAAAATGATGATTTTCACAATTTTTCTGGAAAACCAAAATTGTCATTTTCTCCAGGAAAATCTATTTTTGACCAAAATGAAGTTATTTTCCCATTACCCATGGTGCCATGGATATTTCAGATACCTCCTAGCCTGTGGTTTGGAGACTGGTGCTATTCACTTGTACAAGTGGCAGCCAGGTGATCAGGATTCCTGCTGGACGCCTGCTGCTGTCCTGGGAAATGAGTATCCTTTAGTAGACCAAAGCTGGTCTTGATTGTGATAGTTGAGATGATTGTGTGATTGTTGAGGATGATATAATTTGTCTGCAGTTCAGGGTTTTGGAAGAATATGGTGTCAAGTTGAAATAAATCACTGGCACACAATAATTGGTGTTAAAATAAAGTAGTTTCTCATTAATTTCCAAGTTGAACCAAATTGGGTAACTTTAATATGCTTTGTTCAATTGGTCTGTGCAAATAAAAATCTTAAAGACCATTAGGTTATCTGTATATCAATTAAAAATTTGCTACCACACTTCATGAATAAATAAAGAATCAAATTTATCACAATATTCTACTGATGAAAGGCTTACTTCGTGCTTTCTGTTGAGATCAGTGCAGTAAAGGTGATTTATTTAGTTTCAGTATCTTTCTCCTTGACCCATGCCCAGTATTGCCCATCACCTGACAGTGAAAAAACTCCAGTTCAGAGGACGTCCAGGTCTGGCACATGAATCAGACGTCAAGGACAACATTTTACAGCTGGCCAGTGGAGGAAGTGATCATTTTGTGAAAATTTACAACATTTATATAGATAAACTGAGGTAGCAGCCGGCAGTGGATGACATAATTTTGTTAAATTATACACCATTTATATAGATAAACTGAGGTAGCAACTTGGACTGGACAACATTTTGTTAAAAATACACCACTTATACAAATCAGAATTTGGTACTGATTTAATGTCACCTAAGGGAAAATATGTTATTATGAAAAGTATTGGTTTTTTGATTTCTAGATGAAATGATCACAAGCATCCTGAGCATTGTGTCCAGACATTTACAAGACTTGTTCTTTTTTAAATGTCATTATTGTAACACTCCTCATGTAAATTATTTTATATAAATGTCTTAATATATACAGTTTTCCTGCTGTTAAAGCAATAATAACTCATCCTTCATTACGTAAGAAATACATTGTAAACAACGCCTGGAAATATATTCTATTGCATTTTCCCACTTAAACGACTGTTATTGTAGTAAAACTAAAATCTGTGCTTGTCACTAGGGCTTTCGATGCCTTTCTTCGCAGTCGACAAGTGCATCCGTTTAGGTGTCACGTGGATTCTCGCGTCCATTCGAGACCAAAATAACATGGCGGGAAACCCTCAGACGTAAGTTGTGAGTTTTTGTACAGTGCGTCGGATAACGAAAAACCCAGAATTGCACACATTGTAGATATAAATGCATTTTGAGCAAAAAGACGAACATATCTTATGAATCTTATAATATTGTTATATAGTGTTGTTGTTGTCTGCTTTTCCCGCGGTTTTAAGTAGGTCACCAGAAACTATCGCTTGATACGAGAGGGCTCTGTCAGTTAAAATCTCTTAAGAGATTTTAACAAAAAAACGTACGTTTAGGAAAAAAAAACCTGGATTAACTTTAAAATGCAGGAATGGGGTCGTTGACCATTGGTAAGTACGGGAAAATTGCCGTTTTTTCCAGGAAAATCGTATTTTTGGCCAAAACGAAGAGTTATAATGACTTTAATTAAAAAGAAAAAGAAAACATTCTTAACTTAATTTGTGCAACAGCCCAACATGTTCCAACAGTTGCTCTGTTTATTTTCAATAAATTGAACATTTTTTTATGTTTTCTTCACATTTAACTTTCCACCAACACACTGCACGATCACAGGAGGTAGCCCAAAGTAACACACTGCATGATCACAGGAGGTAGCCCAAAGTAACACACTGCATGATCACAGGAGGTAGCCNTGCTGTCAGTAAAACACCTGTCAACAACCAGTGTGTGCCGTCAGTAAAACATCTGTCAACAACCAGGGTCTACGGTTAACTTGGGTCTGACATCAGATGTAGCTTGGTCACCAGTTCTTTGTTGTCATCTCTCTCCTAGAAATACAAGAAAGCAGATGTAAGTTATCAGGGTTTATAAAATCTTGAAAACTTATATCAAGTATTTAAAAAGTAATATCAAGTATTTAAAAAGTAATTTAAATTGTTTAAAGCCTTGAAAAAGCTCACATTTTATGTTTGTCCTTGAGAAGAACTTATTTGATCACTAAGTAGTTTGTCAAAAATTATTTCAAAGTTTTTAGTTTTGAACATGAAAAAACGTTAGTTCACAGGAGGGGATTATAACTTTTTTCTACATCATTTTAAATAAAAAAATCATGTTTCACTGTAGTTCCTCATTCAACATTAGTAAATAAAATGAACATTTTTTTTAAATAATTCACTTTAAAGTTATCAGATGCAACTATAAATGACAATAAGTTGTCATGATTTATGTTTTAAAAAAGCCATTGGAAAGTCATTGAATTAGAGCATCAAAAGTCTGAATTTGTGTTAAATGTAGCAGTATGAATGCTGCAAATATAACCTGCAAAAAGAAAAAATAAGAGCCAATTGGAATTATTTGTCTGGTTTGACACTGGTTTGTTGTACCTAATACTTATTATTAAGAGCTTGTCCACGAGAGAACCAGCCCAGGGTGGGGGTCAGCGGATTTCAACCAAATTTGTTGTATGGAGGCATATTAGGAAGTTATTCATGAGTTAGGAAGGAATCCCAAAAATATCCTTTCTTCAGAGAATTATAGCCTATTATAAGTCATGGCTTATGTAGCCTCTTTGAGACCCCATTTTTACCTTGGAAAAATAATGATATATTTTGTGTAAATTAAACAACAATGGAGAAAACTAAAAAATATTAGACCTTACAAACATTGAAAACAATCATTTGGCTTGCCACAGATATATGTAGAATTCAGATAAGACCCTGCTTGGGCGAGCCACACCCATTTATAACACCCCTCCCCCCAAAGTCCAATTTTGATACTACCATCTTTAATTGCATATATCTCCATCTTCACAGGGTTTACAGCTATAAAACTGCATGAATATTTTAGGCAGATATGGATCACTCCAAATCAAGTTTCAAAAGTTACTGCTGTATTAAAACAGGTACTGAAAAATACCCCCAAAGTTGGCCATTTTTAAGGCAAAAAATCGTGGTGGATTCATTCAAGTCTATGTAGACAATGGGTTTGATTAATTTATTAAAACATTTTGCTCTACAATGATGTTACTAAATTAATAAGGCTGGTGAGCATGGAAAGTGGATGTGTACTAATGAATATCAGGTCAGTGGGTCGTAGGTCAAGGTCACTGGGCTTCATATTTGTAAATTGCCATATATGGACTTTTTAATTTGTATGGACAAAAAGTTTAGAGGAAATAAATCTTAGATTCTGTTAATTTGGATAGGCACTGGCAATTAACTTGAAAGTTTACATGATAATTTTAATATATATATATTTTTAATATCATCAATTTGGTGAATACAAATTAAAATCTTAGTTTAGTAGCGATTTCTTTTTGGTGCAATATTTATCATATAAAGATCAGGATATGCCATAGTATTTATGAGAGCAAAGCCAGAACAAATCTTTTTTAATTATCAAGAGTTTTTTTTAATCATCCACACCACTTTTTTGGTGACTATTTATGAGCATACAGTAACTAAAAAGTTATTCAATTTAGTTTATTTTTGTCTCAGATGAATAATTACTAATAATAAAAAAAATCACAAAATTATAATACAGCAATACATGCAAAGCAGTGCAACATTAGTTGTGATCATTACAAACTATATCATAATGTAGCAAAACAAGATAATTTTCTATTCAAAAAGCAAAACTAACACAACCGCAAAATATATCCTGGTGTTATGAAACATCTTTGCAGTTTTATATCAAACATTACAGCTCATAACATCAAAGTTTTTAATACATTCAAAAATAACTGCTGATTTTTTCCTCCTGAATAGTCTGTAACCCTCCTTATTGACATTTCAATCTCATCTTCATGCTCACAAATGCTAGGTTCTGCTGGCCTGTTTCTTGTGCCCTTCTAAACTCCTTCAGTAAAAACTCCTTTACTTTATTTGAATATAGTTTCAAAGGTTTAGATGACTTTAAAGCTCATCCATTGTGTAACTCAGTGAGATATTCAAGAGGGTGGAGTTCTCTCACAGAACAAGACAAGAAAAAATTTCCTTGTTTGTGATCTTGCTTGGTATAGTCCCAGTTGGCACATTTGCCTCAGAAAAACCCAAATTAACTTTTACATCAGTATCACTCATGTTAAAACTGCTCAAGGAAGGGAGACACCTTTTCTCATGTAGGAATCAAAAAGCTAAATTGTTGTAATTGGACACTCCAGTCCACGCAGGTTTGGAAGATGTCTGTCTAGCTGGATGTAGAAAAAAGCTCCAACTGCAGAAAATAGGGCCTCATGCATCTCCTCAGCATTTGTTATATTGTGGCTTTCATTTACATACATGCCTTTCTATATAGCCGTCATTTCCACACTAGTTTCAGTTTCTGCAAGGCTTTGGACTCTTTTGCTGACCATAAGATCACTGTGTGTCAAATAACACTTCTCAAATGTGCCTGAAATATAAATATAGCTTACTATAGACACATGAAAACACTTATCTGAAACTTAATTGATACATTGATGAAAAAAATATATTATCCCATTTGTCCATGTTTTATAAGTAAGGCATGGTTTCGAATATTAATTATGATGAGCCTAGCAATTTTGCCAAGACCAGCCCTAGCTTCAATCTAATTCCAGTTGTTACCCTTAAATTTATTTTACCCAAGTACCATTAAACCTACATAAATACCCACACAAATATAGCTTAAAAGATAAAATTATCATAGGTCCTTAGGCTGCAATTTCATTATTTGAAAGGGGGCATTTTTCTTTATAAAAAATGGACCGTTTACCATTAAAAAATTACATCTAGATCATTTTTCTGAGTGAACTTTTTTTTCTGGCTTTTAGCCTGTATTAAAATACAAACAAACCCGTTTCTTACCTGAACCAAGTGGCACCAGTACATTCAAATTGCTTTTTGTCAACACTGACATCTGCAAGTTAATCACATGACATATTTCGTTATAGGCTCGTTTTTCCCTGTGTGGATGGTTTCCAGCACAAACCAAGCCCATATCCCAGTGCTGGTCACATGGTGTAACCGTGTAACCCATTCATTCTTCCAAAGATACTTGGAAATGTCCAATTGCGGTCATCGGAGACAAAAGAATCCACACCGTACAATTAAGAATCAGTTTGCTTTCGTAACTCACGCTGTTTTGCTTCACGTAAACGCAACGAAGATGACTGTTAATATCTCTGTTGCAATTTTTCAATACACTACATGTTTTTTTTATATCTGTAGACAGAGTATAAACCACATGATATACGACTTCGTTGAGGAAGATTTGCAAACAAACAGTCTGCAATTTCCGCCATGTTGGATAATGACGTTGTGTTGTTCTGACGTTAGTACATTAGTTTCACATAATTTTAAAATGTGTTAGATGCTTGTTTTAACCAGAAAAAAATTAGAATAGGTAAAGTGAAAATAAAAAGTTCAACTAACAGTGTTTTAAACCATTTGTTGACTTGAAAGAGATAGCTGAAGTTGAGTGCACCGATATATGTGTCCGCATATATTTACGAAAAATGAAGAAATTAGGTCATGTTCTATCTGTTACAACGGACAAGTTGTAGAACAGCAGTAAGTTTTGATTTCATGTATAAATAGATTAATGAGTTATCTGTTAGTCCTGAAACGCTTTACCCCAAAGACCTGTGAAGATGAAGATATTGTCAAAAATAGAAGGGGGGTGTTAAAAGCATGTGGTTTGTAGGCCTGAGAAAAACGCTTGGTTTGTTACCATGGAAACAAAGAGAGTGAAAAAAATGTATATCATTTTAATCCCCTATCTTTAGGTTATAATATATCACCAAACTAAATCATTTAGTGACACCTGTATAAACTTTAAGGCCAATCAATATAACCCTGTTTTTCAGAAGAATTTTAGGTTGATAAACCCCCCAAATTGTCACTGGCCATATCTCTGTAAGTAGGGATTTTTTTCAGGAAATATTGCAGCCTCAGATATTGTTCATATAAAGGTTAAAACACACCAAATATGATGTAAATCCGTTCACCCCCACCTTGCCGCATTTTCTACATTTGGTCTGGTTTTCTCGTGGACACACACTTAAACTGATTGAAGTATTCTTTAATGTGGGAATAATGGCACAATTTTACCATATGTAAAGCCTGGTAAGCCTTCTCTACTTTCTTCTTCTGTTCCTTCACACGTATATACTGGTAGAAGATCACAGCACTGACAATGAGAATAAAAACTTGTTTGTTAATACACATTAAACTGGTCACAAGGATATACTGGTAGAAGTTCACAGCACTGACAATGAGAATAAAAACTTGTTTGTTAATACACATTAAACTGGTCACAAGGATATACTGGTAGAAGATCACAGCACTGACAATCATATAAACTTGCTTGTTAATACACATTAAACTGGTCACACAGATATACTGGCAGAAGTTCACAGCACTGACAATGAGAATAAAAACTTGCTTGTTAATACACATTAAATTGATCACAAGGATATACTGGTAGAAATTCACAGCACTGATAATGAGAATAAAAACTTGCTTGTTAATACACATTAAACTGGTCACACGGATATACTGGTAGAAAATCATAGCACTGACAATGACAATAAAAACTTGCTTGTTAATACACATTAAACTGGTTACAATGATATACTGGTAGAAAATCATAGCACTGACAATGATAAAAATGTTGATAGTTTTCATTAGTTAAAGGTTTACATATCAACAAAGTAAATACCTAAATACTGTGCAATGAACAAACCCTGCTAACAGTAAAGGTGACAAATGACATGGATACAGAAGAACAAACCCTGCTGGCAGTAGGACTGTAGCTGATGACATGGTTACTTACAGAAGAACAAATCCTGCTGGCAACAGGACTGTAGCTGATGACATGGTTACTTACAGAAGAACAAAGCCTGCTGGCAGTAGGACTGTAGCTGATGACATGGTTACTTACAGAAGAACAAA